TGAACGATGTCCTGGTTCGTTGCATCGATAACACATAAACTTTACATTATCTTTTTTTTCTTCATTAAATTTCGGTTGACATAAAACTTCTTTTTGGGGGTAAAAGCGTTTATCAGTGCTCTCTTGGTATTTCGTTTCTACTTGTAAAGCAAGTTGAAAAGTTTCACTTAAAGTTCATGGACGATGTAGAAAAACCTCATCCCTAATAGTAGGTTGAAAGCCATTTATATATCGAGCAATCTTTTGTCCTTCTGTCTCTTGGAGGTTATCTCGAGCAACTAATCGATAAAACTCCCCCGTATAATCCTCTACTTTTTCTTCATTCTGTCGAAGATTTTGAAGTTCTTAAAAGAAAATTTGTTCATGATTTGCAGGAAGAAAATTTTCTTTCAATTTCTTTTTCATCTTTTGCCAGTAAGTAATTTTTCTTTTCCCACTACGAAATCGGGATTGTTGAACTTGCTCCCATCAGGCCGCAGTATACCCACGGAGTTTGGTAGCAACAAATTTAACCTTACGTTCCTCTCGCAATTCACTCCATTCAAAATAATTTTCAATTGCATTTAACCAATCATTAAAGCCTTCGATGTGGAGCTTATCATGAAATTCTCGGAGGTCAACTTTAATACCAAAATCTCGTAGTCGTTCTATAGGATGCGGATTTGGCCTATACTCTTCTCGTGGTCGTTTTATAAGACGCGGATCTGGCCTATAATCTTCTTATGGTCGCTGTATAGGATGCAGATTTGGAATGTAATCTTCGTTACGCTCGAAATCAACACCTTGGATTTGTCGTGGAATTTCTGATACAAGATTAATGTGGTTGTTAGTACCTTCTTCACGATGAAGGTTATTTTCTAACCTCTGATTCATCTCTTAATGCATCTCACGTACTTCAGTGAGAAAATCCTCTAAGGCTTTAGTCAAATTTTTTATAGCTTGCCCCCAACAATCATCCATAAGAGCAGGATTAGCTTGATTGGCTTTTGGTGGCATTATAAACTCTGGACCTAACTTGCTCTGAATTGAAAAAATAAAACCAGAAAAAAAATAAAATAAAAGGTTGAGAGAATATACCTTCTTTCAAGGTCTGCAAGGTTTTATTAACTCATCCGCATTTTCTTACAATAAAGGGAAACCTCTTTTTAAATAGACTAAACTCATCCACAGTTTCTTACAATAAAGGGAAACCTCTTTTTAAATAGACTAAAAAATAAGATAAACATTAACAAAAAGACTCTTTCTACACTTTTCATATTTTATCTCTTCTTAGGCACAAAATCTTGCGTACCTCTTAAAGTTAAAAGATAAACTCAAAAAAATAATAATTATAATTTTTTTTTTTTCTTTCTGCATCGAGGTCTCATAGGATCATTACTCTATATTATGCAAAATATAATTCTATATAGATATATGTAGTTAACTATAATGTTATGTAAGATTTAGGCCTAGCATAGGGCTGAGGGTTGCTAAGCCGGAGCCCTAGAGTTGTATTCTCGACACAAGGGCCCTTGTCCAGTCCAGCCCAACCCAGCCCATATGGTAGCTAGTTGGGCTAGGCTAGTCCTACTCTGAACTTGTCAGTGGTTCATGCCGGGCGTAGTGACATAATATTAAATGTAGAACATCATCTTATAGCCTTTATCCAACTATTTGGGATCGGCTCGACGAATATTAATATACCATTCTGCTCTATCAATGGTTATACTCTCAATGAGGAATATATCTTTTTGGGTCTACTCCTTATCCCTTTTGAGCCTTTCACCTGAACTAACTCGCACATCCTAACATGTGTTGTACTGGGTCTGGCTATATATTACCAGCTCACCTAAGTTTACCTTCTCACATCTTATCACCTATTGGCGCAACCCTTAGTTCTCTTGAATGTATCTATTTTGGATTCTATCCATTTTTGTCTTGACACTCATCCATCTCAACATCTTTGGTATGTTGTTTCTTAATCTCCCAACATTCCACCCCATAAAGCACAATTGATCTCACAACCATCCTATAGAACTTGTCATTCAGCTTTGTTGGTGTGCATCGATCACATAAAACTCCAATTGCACATCTCCACATTTGCCTACCCAGCTCTAATTCAATGTGCGATGTGTTCCTCAGTCTCTCCATTTTTTTAGAATATCGATCTAAGATATCAAAAGTGCGATCTTTTTGATATATCTTAGCCGTTAATCTTAACTATTTATCCCTACTCCTATTATTGCTAAACTTGCATTTCATATAGTCTAAAAAAATAATTTCATTATTTATTTCTACTTTCAAATTTTTTCTTGCTTAAATTCCTAACCATATTAAAAAAAATTTAGAAGTTCCCAAGACTTTTTTCAAAAGTTATTAGAAGCAAACTAAAAATTTTCTAATACGCGGTGGTTTCCAATCCTGCCGACACTACCCATTGACACCTTTAAAAGAGAAAGAAAAGAAAAAAAAAAAAAGCTAACCCCCTTATCTATATAAAAAAATGGGTAGGGGATGTCTTCAAATCACGAGGACAAAAAAAAAACCTTTAGTCAGACATTTTTTAGGGCGATTTATGACGGTACTAGTATCCAAATGTGATTTGAGAGGCAATGAAATTTGGAATTTAGGGGGTGATTTAGTCGATTATCAAAGTGGAAGCATAATTTCAATCAAATTATATTCACTCATATCCATGATGTCTTTTCATGAGAAAATTTAGTGCTCTCTATTATTGTTAAAGTTCAATTGAACTTCATGTGCAATGATAACACGTTTAAGGTTTTGATTTGTTCCTTTCAACTGAATTGTAGGTACTTTTATTATAGAACCAAAAGAAATATTGAAAAATTAAACACAGAGAGAAATATAAGGAGAGAGAAGAGAGAGAAAAAGATAAGTAAGAGAGAGAAATAAAAGTGGGGAGAGAGAAAGAGAGAGAAACAAAAGGAGAGAGTGTGTGTGTGTGGTGGGGGCAGAAAGCTGTATGCAATCCACAACTAAGCATGCAATGTCGGCTTTTTTAAAGACATCCATCCTCTCTCTCACCTGCCTTCTACAAAGCCTTTTCCTTTAAAGTTCCCTACCATCATTCATGGAAATTATTATTTGCTTAATTTATTTCCAACTTTTTATTTCTTTAAAAAAAAAAATTCCCACCATGATCCATGGAAATCATTAGTTTTTTAAATTGTTTCCAACTTTCTCCTTCTTCATGATCCATGGAAATTACTATTTTCTTAAATTGTTTCCAAACTTTCCTTCTTCTCTTCTATCCTTTTTCTTCTAAACCAACGAAAAGTTTTAAAAATGGAAGCAAATTTCTTAAATTATTTTCAATAAGGAAAAAACTTATATAAAGTTGCAACCTTAAAATTTAGAATCAAAGTGCGCTTCAAAAATCCATCATAAATAGTTGTTTTGATGTTGGAAAAATCTCTAATTGATCATCTCAACATTTGAGATGTCTGAATATGAAAATAAAAAAAGATTTTGAGTCCTAAAAATTATGTAATGCAACACATTATCTAGACTGTCAATTTTCAAGATTTTCAAATGTTTATAAATCTACTTGATTTGAACCTTTTATGGAGTTTAAGATTTTATAAATCGAGATGAAAATAGATACTCAAGCCATCCTAAGAATTTTTACATCAAAAGTATATTTATGACAAAATTTGAATGCGCGTCTTAATTGGAATGTTTAAGGCCGCACAAACCACACCCTTTCAAGAAAATCCTCTCCTGTTTACTATTGCTTAAAAAAGCCTACTGGCCAAAGTTCATGAAAATTCTTCATGAAAATTCTTATTTTTTAAAAAATCACTTACAAAAATAATTACATTTTATCTATTTCTTAATTTTTTAATTTATTTTATATTTAAATTTAAGGATTCTTTAACAAGCTTAATAATTTCATTCAGCTTTACTTGGATGCATTGGTTAATATCAACCCATTTATTGGTTTAGGGAGCAATCTGAGCCGTCCATGGAATTTTGATCTAATTTATTCCTAAAAAAGCTGAGAAGATCCTCTATCTGCTTTCACTTCCAAATTAATATCATTGATCTTGGCATATTTGTTATTTGCCAAGGTCAATGACAAAATGATAGGGCCACGGCTTTACAAAGTGGCACAATGTAGTTTTGAACTATACAACAAGGATCTCGAACAGTATCAAAAATGGTCTACCTTGCAACATATTTTTGTGGACTGTCCATTTCAGGTCTTCTGCACTATTTTTGGCATTTCAAATTCTATAATCAGGAATGGAAATAGAGTTGTAAGCCTACAAGAGTTTTAGAGCACCCAAATTTCATTTTCTATTTGTATTATGAGGTGTGGCTATACCAAAATGCACAAAACCGAGGCCGCAACTTTTGTCTTTATTTTTTTTAATACAAGTATATTTATGAGAAATGATGATTTTATTTTCGTGAAGAAAGATCGGCATAAAATTCTTATTTACGAAAACTCTTACGAAAATAATTTTCATAAAGAATTTTATTATTATAAATCTCTAACATTAGATCTCCAAAATAGTGATAGGTAACGGCTCTTATATGGACGGTCTAGACTGAATCATTTATATATTAGGAAAATTTAGACCGTCCATTCATCCAACTTGGCACCCCAAGTCACTCGTGCCACAATACAAGTGCTTGGAGTGCCGCTCTTGCTAGCCTCAACCAAATTAAGAATGGGTGAGCTTGAACATTGATTGTCTTGACATCGAGATGCATAAATATGAAAAATAAAATAAAATTTGAATTTCATAAATAATGCATCTTGCAACACATTATCTAGACCATCCATTTTCAAGATTTTCATATGTTTATAGATTTTATTGATTTTAATCATTTTTAAAGTTTAAAATTTTATAATTAAAGATGAAACTAGATTTTCAAATAATTCTAAATTTTTTTTATAAAATTTGGAGGTGCCATTGTTTAAGATTGCAACGTTAAACAAACCACACCCTATTGTATACAATAAAAAATTTGTTATTTTATTTTATAAGCATATTGCACACCGTATGGTCATATATGTTTCGAATCAAAGCTCCCTCATGCACTGCTCACTCCTTTCATTTTCCCGGCGATTCTTCTAGTTTTCCGGCCCAAACACCGCAGAACAAAGGTACTTATTCTGGCTCTCCACCCACTCCAAGCATCAGTTTATCACTCCGTTTCCTTCAATTTGAAGCCATTATTACAGAATTCTGGCCGTTCCCAGTGGTTTTGCGGTAATCTTAGCAGAATTCCGGCGACCACAATTAGTCTTTCCTTCTTTGCCCTGACTATTTGGCATCTTCCCTGCAACTCCATGCTGGCTTCTGAACGAAACTCCAGCTGTCTCCACCATTTATCTGGGGAAAATTTAGGAACTACGGCCACCACCATAACTTTTCCAGACACTATTTCAGAATTCCGACCACCCCAGCAAGTTTTCTGGCTATTCAAAAGAAAATCCGCAACTTGTGCAGCTTTTTACGGTGATTGAGCAGTTGAGCTACATTTCCATCACCCCACCACAAAAGTTTCACCATTTTTCAGATTTGGGTGACTTTTGCAGATTGTTCGGCAAGGCAGCAACCCACCTGGAAATTCTAGCGATTCTCTCAATATTCCAGTAACTTTTGCACTTTTCCGGTGAGTTTGGCTACTTTCCGAGAGACCCACCTTAAAGTCACAGTCATTATTTAAAAATTCCTGTAACTAAATCAGAATTCCAGCCATTAGATCAGTTTTTTCAAGCGAATTATAAGAAACACAGACTCAAAGCCCATTAACATACAACAAAGGAGAAGAGATTCAAACCGGAGAAAAGCACCAATTTTTGTTTTTTTTTAAATCTCACGCATAGATGGAGAGAGAATGGCCTGAGAGTTTGAGGCCGAAGCTTTCGAGGCGAAACTCAGAGACCAACTACTTCAGTCCCGAAGAGTTCAGCGATGTTTTTGGCGGACCCCCCAAAAGCGTTATTTACCGGCAACAACTTGAGGCTGGAAAATTCGACTTCCCATTTTCTGGCAGCCGGAAAACTCAGAATTCCGGCACCTTTTACGACGAGATATTCAGGCAGGGGCAGGAAGAGCGTGCAAAAATGGGCAGGAATTTGCCGGTATATGAGATTCCGGGAATGGGTATGGGAGGTAAATATGGTGGAAAAGGCGAGGGTATTTTGGGGAGAGGAGGGTTCTATGACGATATATTTGGAGAAGAGGAGGGTAGTTATGGAAATAGGGGGTCGAGAACGAGGTCTGCCTCGTCATGTTCAGAGGTGTTGAGTCCTCTTAGACCTTCGGTTTCAGAGGACATGGCTTTCAACTCTTTTGCTTCCAATCTAAGGTAAATGATTTATTATTATTATTCTCTTATAATGTTTCTTTAGAGAGAGAAGTTGGAAACTGAAATCTGTGTTTTTGTGTTTCTTTATTTGTATCGTAGGTAGTTCGGAAAAGGGGTTGAGGTCATGATGGTAGCACTGTCATATTTCAGTTATATATATTGTAGGTTAAAAGCCCTTTAACTATTTTTAAAAATAAGTAGGGGCACGTGATTCCTATTGAATTATCAAAAAAATTAAAAAAAATTATATGTAGCGTCCAATCCTATTGACAGGTTAAAAAACTAACTATTAAAAAACGATCCTACTTAATTACCCCAATTTTTTTTTTTTTATATGTATGTTTAGGTGTGACTATGCATGAGAAGAGAGATTTGGAAGTATATATGTTGTATGTGTGCGAAAGAATGTGCTCCACTTTGAATGGTTGAATTCCTCTCCTCTTACTCGGATCCGTTCAGCAATCGAACAAGTTAGGGGTCTAAGGGTATCTGATCCCTACTGAATTACTCAAAAAAAAATATTATGTATAGGTGTGACTCTGCATGAGAGATTTGGAAGTGTAGATGTTGTATGTGTGTTAGAGAGAGTGTGCTCCACTTTGAATGGATGAGTTCCTCTCCTTTTACTCGGATCGGTTCAACAAGTGAGGGGTCTACATTTGTCAGGATTGGATTTGCTAGTGAGAGATCTGATATTGAGCAAGTGAGAGGTCTAGTTTAACTACATCAAAACTAATTTAACAGCAGGTCGAATTAAATGTAGTAGATTTGAAAAATACCTAAAAATATAAATAATAATTTAAAAATATAAAGGGTAGTAAAAAAAAGTTGCCTATATTTGTTTGGGTGCCGTTTGTATATAGCCTAGGCTCTAAACAATCAAATTAGAGCCTACCTTCAAATAATGTTGAGAAATGTAGTTTCAATATTGAAAATGTTTATGATAGCCTTAAAATATATGTTCATCTTTATTTATAAAGTTTAAAAAAATAGTGTAGATCGATAGATTTATGAAAACTTAAAAATCTTGAAAATTGACAGGCCAAAAAGTGTTATAAAATATACTACTTCTAAAACTTGACATCCTATTTTTTTCATATCTACGCATCTTGATGTCGAGATGATCATTTTGAGCACATTTGGACTTCAAAACAACTTCTTCTAGTAAAAGTTTTGAGGTAGGCTCAAATTTGATTGTTTAGAGCCTCGACTCTATATAAACTTTTCCCTATTTGTTTTGGTTTAGTCTAAACAATGAAAGTATATCAGATGGACCCGGCTCTATATAAATTTTTCCCTATTTATTTTGGTTTAGTCTAAACAATGAAAGTACATCAGATGGACGGGCCAAAAGTAGTCATTTATTGGTTTTAATTTGTTTATAATTATTTTTTATTTTTATTAAGGACTAGACCGGCCAAATTATCAATTGGTAGCAGTGTTCACAATATTGGCTAGTTCAACTCAAAATCGGCTAGTTAGATTGGAACCAGGTATTGGCAAGTTACCTGGTTTTGGTTGTTGGTGATCCGGTGGCGTAGTTTTAAAAAATTAAAATAAAATATCAAAAAATAAGGAATATGTTTGTATATTTTTTTTTAAAAAAAATTTGTTATCATTTTGGCAAAGATTAGTAAGTGTTTTAGCCATGAACACTAATTTTTACATTTTACCTTTTTTTTGAAAAATTTCAAAATTACCTTTGGCACAAATCGATTTTTCGAAATCTTTTTTTTTTTTTAATACTAATTTTTAACTTCATATAGATGTACTTTGTTTAATCATGTTTTAAATATACTTTTTATTGTTTTTAGATTTTTATTTTTAACTACTTTTTTTACCGGTCGGGACTTGTTTAGTTAGAGCGGTTGAACCTGCACTTTACCTATTATTTGGCACCGGCCCCTGGCCGGTTCAATGTACCAACACGGTTGGTAGTCGAACGAGCCCATCCGGTCCATGATGGATAGAAGAGAAACTTAAAAATTAGAAATTTCCTTAAATGAGCACTTTATCTCATAAATTCCCCTTATTTTCCATAGAAGAATCTTCCATTTTTTTTGAAAATTTGAACGTTCTGAGCGCCATCTCGAAGCGCATCCAATGGAGTGAAACGCTCGCCTCTCTCTCTAAAAACGCATCCAATGGAATGAAACGCTCGCCTCTCTCTCTAAAAGCACTTGAATTTAGCATAGATGGCACAAAAAAAAGAGATTGCTCCACTGTTAATGCACATGGAAGCGTAAATATTTCATCTTTAGAGAGAGAGAGGGTATGTCATTCTTGTATTCTTCTGTTTTTTATAATTTATTTCCTTTAATGTAGCATCCGTTATGCTCTGAAATATGAGAGAGAGAGAGCATCAGAGTCAGAGTAAATCCCCTGTTTTTTTCTTCTTTTTTTTCAGGCCCATCATTGTACCACCTCGCCATAACCGAAGGTCATTCTCTGGCTTCTTCTCAGAACAACAAACAGAGGAAGTCTCTCCAGCTCCAACAATGTCCTCTTCTTACAGAGACGTCTCTGATCCATTAAAAGACTATTTCAAGAATTACAGTAACAACATCAAGCTCTGCAACTTTCACAGGAGCTCATTAAACCATAACTCATTCTCCGAATCGACAATCTTCGGGCCCAATTCCAGCCATATTGTTTCCTCCATTAGAACCCCATCTCAATCTCCTGATATCGAAAAAGAACCCATTTCAAACTCACCATCCTCTGCAACTTCATCATGCCTCCTTCAAGAGGATGTTTTCGAAGAAAATGATATCCGGAGCCAGTTATCAGAGAGAGATGAAGTGGGGTCTGAGTTCTTTGGTTCTTATGTCATAGAGATTGTTTCTGAGAAGAGAGAGGAGCGAGAGGAAATGGTTGGAGTGAATGAAGCCATTGCTTGGGCTAAAGAGAAGTTTGAAAGGAATTTTAGCAGTGGGAGCAATGGAGATGTTAGCTATATGGAAGCCAAAATGAAGGGGGTTCATAGTGAGCTGAAGGCTGGGGTAGGAGATTTACGCCCAGAAAAAGAATCACGTGAAAATGAAACAGGTACTCACAGAAGTTGTGTGTGTATGAGAGAGAGAGCGTAGTTGACACAAAAACCCACTTTCAGAGATGGGTTCACCTCATTTTTGAGAAATTTTATGCTGTGTGAAATAATTGTAGTTTTTACGAACTTGTATCTTCACATTATAAAACAAAAGGATTTTTGTGAATCTCTCTCTCTCTATCTCTCTCTAGAAAATACAGAGCCGAAATCCAGTTCAAAATTGACAGAGAGCAGGACAGTAGCTGAGTGTAAAGACCCATTCAAAAGAGCACACGGAAAGCAGCAGCTCTCCAAAGTAAAATTTCCTTTTCTTAATACTCTATAGTCAATAGTAAGGATAAAGAGATAACGTAGAGTTTATTACTCTTTATGTTTTTTGTTATAAAATCTCACTTTCTTCCGTCTTGACATTTCAGGCCAGATCTCTAACAGAGCTCAAGTGGAAGGAAGTTGATAATGAGGAGCTTAATAGTGATGTAAGTTCAGAAACCCACATGGTTCTCCTTATAAAAAGCACTCCTAATTACTGTTAGAAACAATCGCCTGTCCGAGTAGGGACTCACCGGTGTTGGACTGGAACAGGAGAGAGACATGCCAAAAAACCCTGAAATTGCCAAGTTTCCCATTTTTACTAAATTTTTATTGAAAACTACATGGTCTGACTCGGACTCACCCAGATCAGAAGGGGGGGGCACTCGAGCTCCGACTTGCGTGGGCTACTGGTGAGTCAATAGCCGGATCCGACTTTTTAAACACTGCTTCTAATCATTTAATGCATAGCTACTCATAAATACATCTATGCATATATTAAGTATGCTGGGATTGAACTCCAAAAGTTTTGTTTGGTTTGCGGCAGTGATTAAAAAGTGTTAAAGACTATGGTCTCGTATGCAATTTCAATAGCACTTGTTTTCCTCATAATCTGTATATTGATATCCTGATTATACTCTGATACTTAAACATATAACCTGTTATATACTCAATTATTTTCATAGTATAATATTTATACTGGTAATTCTGATAATCTATATACAGATACTACTGATTATTTGTAAACTGTTATAATCTGCTACTTTTAATTTCTGTACTCTTAATACAATCTGAAGCTGTTAAACTGTATACTGGTAATACAATCTTATAAGGACCTGGTTTATATGCGGCCAAGCCCATGTGTAGAAATGCGGGTGTATTAATAAATTTATTTTATGGATTTTTGGACTTAATTTTTAAGGACATGTAATCTCTAACATGGAGATCATGAATATAAAAAAATAAGTAAATTTTAAAAACTAAAAATAATAATTCTAGTAAAAAAACATTTGGCCCGTTAGTTTCCATGGTTTTTGGATGGAACACCTACTTGCAACCATATTTAAAATGGATGCTTTATACTTTTGGACCGCATATGTAGTCATGCGGTCCAGTCTGCATGAAACAATTTTCCATCTTATAAAGGATGGAGTCCATAAGCAGTTTTTAATGAGATTGATTGAAGACTTCTTATTTCTTACAGGCTGCCACAGAGTTATTGAACGAGAATATCAGAAGGTGGTCCGCAGGCAAGGAAGGAAACATTCGATCTTTGCTTTCAACTCTCCAATACGTAAACTCTTCATCCTTCTCAAGAGATTTCTTGGATCTAGAATTCCTAATGTGAAATTTCGATTACTAATATGCATTGATCAATAGGAAATAATAACTAATAATAACTTGTGAACACCTCATAAATAGAGGGTAAGTTGAAATTATTCATAAAACGAGTGCCTCGATTTAATATTTATTTGTACCTCTTCTCTAAAGAAAGAAAGGATAAGAAAGATATCTATTATCCATACATAAGTATATGATAAATACAATGCACAAAGAATGCAGAATTGAAATAAATTCGGGAAAAAAAAGTGTAACCAATTCTTTTCTTTAATTTTTCTCCATAATTTGAAAATACTTAGATCTCAAAATAACTTTGTTGATTCGTTCAATATACGATATATAAAGGGGCCGAGATGCCGATTCTGCAAATTATCTAACTGTGCATCTTCTTTTGCAGATTATAACCCTTCTTGGATGGCCCTCATGTTCTAATAACTAGGATTTCAGTCATTGCATTACTTAAATGAATTAGTTAGCAAAATGAAGGGTAGGCTTATGTTACCTAGACACAGACCTGTGTCTAAATCTGATACATATCTAGGATTCAAATGCCTAAAATCAAGATAGGAGAGACGTGTCCCTGTAATTGTAATCTTATAATAAAACCATATATGTTAATGAATGTGTAGCACATAATTCATATCTGTTATGCTTATGTAGTTGACGCCGTGTCCTGAAGTGTCAACACAATGTTCAAGTATCGACATTTGTCAGTACATGAGACAGCTAGAATAGTGTGTCAGAGAAATAACTTTTCTCTAAATATGTTATCAGGTTCTATGGCCTAACAGTGGATGGCAAGCAATCCCTTTAACTGAAATTATCGAAACCACATGTGTGAAGAAGGCTTATCAGAGGGCACGGCTTTGCCTTCATCCCGATAAGCTACAACAAAAGGGTGTAACTCTTCCTCAGAAATATGTTGCAGACAAAGTCTTTGGTATCCTTCAGGTATTTATTTAGTGCTAAGCTTGTAAGAATCTCATTATCGGTAATTTTATTGTATTACTGGGTGCTTCTAAGTAAAATAGGGGAGTAAATAGAAACTCAAGTAATGAAGTATAATACAACCACATTTGTTTTTATATAAAAAAAATCACAATCATTTTTAGCTGTATCATTGGCTGCACTTAATGTCTGAAAAAAAATTCTTAGATTTTATGCAGAAAAGTGACACACTTCCAACAACCAATTTCAAAACTAATAGAGATTGTGATCTTCCTCTACAAAAGATAAATAGTCTTACAATAAACACTCATTAAATAAAAAGGGACAGACAACAGAGTCTCTCTTTAAGTTAAGAAACTCTTGCCCTGTTTTGTAAAGTGACTGCCTTCCTAACATGCATATGCATCAACATATATACGTATATCTTTAATGTTAGGAAAAAATGGAAACGAATAATGTATATGTAATTCTTTTGGGAAAATCGGAATGTGTATATAAATTTTATAAAATAAATTTCTAGTAGCCTGTTTTGTTCTTGTAGGTCTTCCATTTTAATAAATTATTTTCCTTGAATTAATATTTTATATGTTTCTTTTGAATATCGGTAATTCGAGACATTAATCTATTTCTTCAATGTAGGGAAAATGCTTTAGATAAATCACAGTAAATAAAAAAGGAATGAAGAAAATTGTCATATTAAGGAAAATAACTCCCATGTAATATTTCAAAACTTGCAAGGAAGTTTGTTCATCGGTTAAGACGCACCGACACAAGAAATTATTTATTGAATATGATGTGTCATGTCACCTTTGGGCTGGATCGGTTAGTTCTCAACCTTTGAGACACTACATCTCAAGTTCAATTCCTACCGATGAACTGCCCCAACAAAAAAAAAAGAAAAAAATAAGCATATTGTATTGTCATTCTTGCCAAATTTCACTAACTTGCAAATATGTTTGTAACAGGATGCATGGGCCATATTCAGTACTCAAGATATCTTCAGTTAAAAAGCTCAAGAACAGGCATGCCCCATTTTAGATTTGAAGACTACACCATGGTTTTGGAGTTTGCTGTTTCCATAAGAAATAGAAATGGTTTTGGCGTCATAAGAATTTTAATATGTACTATCTACTGGGTTCAGGAGATCATGAGGTTTATAATCTGCAATTTCAATTGTTAGAAAGGAAGCTTTGTAAAGATTTGAGAACAAAAAATGGGCTTAGAGACTTTTGTGAGCATAAAATTATCATTATGCTGGTTGCTAATGCAAGATGGAAAAAAATCATTTTTGAAGTAATTGTGAGGTACCCACCCCCAAATTCTACTTTTAAGTCAGCCTAAATCGATACAGTAACATTTGTTGAAGGCTATAACAAATCTCTCTCACACACACAATGAACACTGCAGCATTGTTTGAGTGCCAAATCAATTCTCTCTCTAAATCTATGAACAGTGCAGCATTGTTTGAGTGCCAAATCAATTCTCTCTCTAAATCAATGAACAGTGCAGCATTGTTTGAGTGCCAAATCAATTCTCTCTCTCTCTAAATCAACGTTGCAGCACTGTTTGCATGCTGCTTAAGAATGGGGTTAGGGTCATAGTGGTAACACCACGTGTACCTCAGCTAAAGTTTAAGCTTCCATTCTCACCTAATACATTAAAAAACCATTAACGAGTTCAAAAAATAAGTGAGAGCTACTCATCCCCACTCAATTACCCAAAGAAAAATTCAACTCTCTCTATTGATAATGTCTCAACCCCAAACGACTCTCTCAGCCAAACATTGGCACCGTCTCGCTTAATTCAAACCCAAATCGGGAATCATCAATCCCGATCAGAATCTGTCAATGGGCAATCTTTGTCCCTCTCTCGGCCTCACCTTGTGCAAATTCAGATTAAGAATCGCCAATCCTGATCAGAATCGGGTGACCTATGTCCCTTCCCTCCCAAATCCCCTGAAATTTAATTCTTACTTATTTTTCAACAAATTTTCACTAGCTCAGCCACTCCAGATCAGTATAGTGGGGGAGTGATTCAGAACGCAATTCGGGTTTTAAAGCACAGCTCTCCCCAATGGACCACACCTAGACCTCTCGTGGACCTGCAAACCCCTACCCAATATGGCGCAGCGCAATCTCTTCTTCTGAAGTAGCAGTATGGTTCTTGGAGAAGGCAGAAAGCAGTAGGACCCCAACCCAGGAAATATGCAGGGAACAAAGTTCCACATGCCTTTCAAAGTATGATACGATACGAGGCTTTGGCCATTATAGAAACATGAGAGAAAGAGAGAGAGAGAGAGAGATTTTTGCTAGTATACAAGGACGAAATAAGCATGCGACCAAGCCTGCAAATGTAGAAATGCAGGCATGGCAAAAAATATATTTTTTAAATATTTTTTATCCTAATTTTTTGACTATATATAATCTTTAACAAGAGATCATGAATATGAAAATAAATAAAATTTAAAAACTAAATATAATAATTATATTAAGAAAACATTTGGATCATTAGTTACAATTGTTTTAGATGGACCACCTATTTGACCTATTTGCTTTATACCTCTGGACCGCATATTGTAGAAATGCATCTAGCACGCATGAAACAATTGTTCATCATATAAACATGATGTGTGTAAGAGAGAGAGAGAGAGATTTTGCTACTATATATAGAAACATTAATATGAGAGACGCAAAAATTCCAAAATTGCTATTATACAAACATACTGTGAGAGAGAGCTTTTTGCTACTACATGTAGAACCATTATATGAGCGATACAAAAAATCCGAAATTCAGAGAGAGAGAGAAAGGAGTGCGGGGAGGGAGCATTTCCAGGATGTGACCAACCAACAAATGGTACAAAATTCATTTGAATTATTAAATTGCCGAGAGTTAACAGGAAGATTATGAAACTTTTACAATGAAAATTCTGGGTTACAAACGGCAAAAATGCTTGGCCAATAATTCAAAAGAATATAAAGAAAAACGAAAGAGAAGAAGAGCCTTGCTTTAGCCCAAGGAAGAGTTCTCTAAAAATTAATTTATTCATTATGAATGGGAAAGGACATATATAAATACGTTATTTATATCTCACCATCACTTTGTTCTGGAGATGACTCTTTGAGTGAGGTCCACCAAGGCCCTTCTGGATATAATGGCATCTTCGTTATTAGTTGGGGGAAGAGAATCGACAGCTGCAGCGGCAAGGCTTGCATGCTCAGCTGCCAAATCCTTGGTCCTTTGTATTCCTTGGCTTTTACCAAGGTAGTCAAGGGCCTGCAAATTCATCAATCGCATATAAGAGAGAGAGACAGAGGGGATAAATATAAAATCATGGGAGTCTGTGTGTGAGAGAGAGAGAGAGGATAAATATAAAATCACAGGACATAGGCATCTCTGTGTGTGTGTGTGTGAGAGAGAGAGAGAGAGGATAAATATAAAATCACAGGACATAGGCATCTCTGTGTGTGTGTGAGAGAGAGAGAGAGAGGATAAATATAAAATCACAGGACATAGGCATCTCTGTGTGTGTGTGTGTGAGAGAGAGAGAATGGTGCAGGACATGGGCATCTGTGTGTATGTGTGTGATTGCGTGTGAGAGAGAGAGAGAGAGAGAGAGGATAAATTCAATGTTTCTAATGACAGGACATCAGTCATTTGCTTCTGCCAACAGGAATTTAAGAATGTAGCTCAGGCAGGTCCTACAAATAATTAGAGAGAGAGAGAGAGAGAGAGAGATCTGAATAGACAAAAGAAATGTTCGTAATGACAGGCCAAGCGACAAAATATAAACAGACACACACACGCACACAGAGGGAGAGAGGAATAGACGAAACAAATGTTTGTAATATCAAAGTGTTACAGCATCCTCCAACATGAATTATCGAAATATATAACTTAGCAAGACCTACAAATAAGCATGGAAGACAGAGAAAGAGAAGCAATGTTAACTATAATCGACAGGACAAGTGTTATAGCACCATGCAACTGTAAGTGTAGAAAGATATATCTCAGGCAGGTCCTACAAATAATTTGAAGATATGGGTAATATGATACTTACGATATCGACATTATCAGGATCTTCAAAGCCCTTATCAACAACCATACGCAACTGAGGGAACTCTTCCATGGCAAATAATATAGGAGCAGTCACAATTCCCTGTACAAGAAATTCTATATATGTCAAACAACTTAGGAAGATGAATTAGAGAACAAAGATAGCCGAAAAAAGGAATTACTATAGAGAATGATAACAAAAAAATAGAAGGATATACTAGATAGCAATCCCAATAATTTCGAAGCCATGATCGATACCCAAACCCGAACTTTTGTTATTTATATTTCATCTTTTCAGTTGCATTTTACAGGTTATTTGTGTTTTCGAACTCTCAAGGCCCTCCACTCCACAAGATAATTGTTATTCGGTTTAAAGACAAAACGTTATACACATACATAGCAATTCATATTTACATAGAGTGGGAGTCATTTTCTTCCTTATTTTTACTGATAGTAAATTACTGATTGTAAAAAAAAAAAGGAACTCATTGTCAAAACATTGTATCCTCCCTTCCCTTCCTTTCCCTACCCTCCCTCACCCCCTCAATTCACATAAGTTTTTTGCTGATTCATTCATCTTTTATCATTCATTCTAACAATTTACAGAGACTAAGTCAGATACAATAATTTCATTGAAACTTCTCTTCAAATATATCTATGATGGTATTGTTTTCCAGTTAAACCATCGGAAGAGCACCCACAGCGAGAACTGTATAGATTAAGTACTCTTTGAGTTGCTTTTTCACGAAGACCACCTCTTTTTTATAGCATAGCATCAGCACTCTACAATAACATGGGGATTTAAAAAGACAATGTAAAGGAAATAGAAGAAGACGGCCGCCCATTAAAAAACAAAAAAAAAGAAGGAAAAAAAAACTTTCTTCTAAGGAAAGAGCATCATTATAATTTAAGAAAAGATCCTCTGCATAACAGAACTACATTTACGAAGGGAGGAGAGAGCTTTACATGACGTATATCTGACAAGGAACCCTTGCCAAGGGAAGCACATGTGCCAGTGAAGTCAAGAACATCATCAATCAACTGATATGCCAGGCCCTGAAAAGATGCAGTAATGGTAGAACACAAATGTGAGAGAATATTTCATAACCTTTCAAAAGTAACATCACTTCTATGCAAAGATAAAGCTTCCAAAATAATAGAAATGGTACACAGCAAATTAGACATAAGCTTTGCAAGGTACAAAGCAACTTAGACATAAGCTTTGCAAGCATTTGCAGAAAATTTCTATCAGGTCAGTGAAATTAAATGGCCAGATGAAAGGAAATCTCTACATGGACTTCTCATGTTATATGCATAGCTAAGGAGGACATTGGATTCTAAGGTACAATTCCTTGTCAACATAGAAGGAAAGGTAACATCATCTAAATTATCTATCATGGCATATAACTCAGTGTGAAGAGTTCATTTATTTCAAACATGAAATTCAAGAACTCCAGACCAAGTATCTCACATAGAACTTGATTTTCAAATTGGATTGACGGGATTACTGCAGCTGGACAGCTTTACAAATTTGATGCCATTTAATTCTATCGGATTCCCTATTTCACCAACTTTTCTATCATGCCACTCCTGAACTTCAACCATCTACAAACATTCAATTTAGTTCCATATTATGATAGAAAGTCACCCATGCAAATCAGGCAATTCCATCGTAATGTTTTCTCATCAGTGGGTTTCCATTGGCCGGATGCTCATGGTCAAGTTTTGGTTATCAGGTTGAATAAACAAATGCAGTGAGCCTCAAACACATATGCGTCAATATAAATCAACCGACCAACCAATTGACCAGATTGTAATCAAATGATTGTAGATCTTGATCAGAACTCAAAATAAATATTTAGAAGATTTGACATGGATGTATCTCATGTGCAATTGCATGTATGTGAGTGCCTATGGGTATTCTTCTTAAATACATAGCTAACAACTAAAGCTTTTCGAAAAGTTAACTATATAAAATAAAATAAAAGATTTCAAAACATATATGCTATATAGAAACTAAAAGACAAAACGTAATATATGAGAAATCAATTCTTATGAGAACCACTAACACATTAGTGTGTCCATCTCATACGTGCCTAAAGTAAAAGTTATAACATTCCCACACATGGCACCTCTCTGCTAAACTTCCTACACGACCTTCCTTTCCAAATTCCATCTTGTAGCCACCATAGGGGCCTGGATAATAGAATAATTGAGCTACTATGCCCATATCCACACATAAAGCTCTTGTAACAAAGGCAAGGGTAATAGGGATAATAAAAGTATAGCATTCTAGAACTTTAGCCACAAATGACAAGACTGAATTTAGAAGAAAATTTGCGATCAATCATACTCATGAGCGTTCTGAGTACGACAACACCATATAAATGGGACTTCTACAACCACAAAATAAAAAATATCTATACAGAATAAAATATAGTTAACTGGAGGGGAACCAACCAAATTTCGACCATAGTCATAAGCAAGCACAGAAACTTCAGCTGTCTGCCCCGCCAGCAGAGCAATAGCTTTACAGCTGTTTGAGATAAGTGAGGCTGTCTTGTAATATGTCTTCTGCAAGTAGTAATCCATGCTGTCTCCACATGCAAGAGTAATATTACTATTAGTATAATTGCATGAGTCAATCACATGGTCATATGAATTTAATGCTTGGAGATTCATTTAGGACTTTATTAACCAAATGGAAACAGCTTTTCAATAATCGCTAGCAACTTTTTACGTTTGAAGAGATGACAAACGTAAAGCTAGCAACTATCTTAATAGCATTCAACATCTCAGAATCATCTAAAACTGAATCATAAAATTTAAATATTCATTGAGACAGAGAGAGACAAAAGGAATTTTATTTCTAGATGTTTAATTTAAGATCCCCAAATGGCAATACAACTAAAGGTACAGAGGACACAACTTCGAAATTCATAAAAACGAGTCAGGGTAAAAAGATGTTTGTGGTGTGGAGCATCTGTATATTAAATAGTCAGTACATGTCATATTATCCAACAAGACTGCAGAGAAAAATAGGGACTATGTAGCTACCATCATAACCATAAGGGACAATCTGAATAAGATCTCATGAAAGCTGAAGAATTTTGATCTTTTGAGTTTCCATTTTAATAGAGTACGGGGAAGATTCTTGAATAGCCCTAGAATGTAATTCCATTATCATAACATCCAAGCTCAATGTCGCATTGACAACTAATGATGGAGTTTTTTATGTTTTTATTTTTATAAGAAACAACTAGTTTTAATGAGCATCAAGAATAACTATTCAAGTTCTCAACTTGACAAATGAATTTGTACCAAAGAGTTTGCAATTGGAAGTCACTAACTTAGAACAAACAAATTGGCTCTGACACTTCATACCTACAACGTTGATCAGATGAGGTTGTCATTTGCATTGTTTCTCCAGTAACAAGGTGCTCAACGACAGTAGCCAGCAATGTCACAACCTACATGTAGACAGTGAAAAAAATATGATTAGTGTAAAAAAAAGGACACTTAAATCAGCAATGTTTGATAGAACTGCATTTACAGCTTCTTTTCTGGAACCCCATACTGAATCTTGAGTAAAAGTTGGAAGTGACTCAATCACTTATTTAGTCCATAGAGTGTAACAAATGTAACAGAAAAGATGATATCCATCATATAATATAACATAATTCACCAATAGAAAACAAGTACAAGATACATAGCCTCCATATATTGAATTTTGCATCAAAATAATATGCATGACCAGCAAATCAATCAGAAGATGACTCTAGCTCCTCATGCATCTGGTGAAGTGGTAAAGAAAAAAATGCTGAATGTGGTTTAAGCAACATGTAAGCAACCCAATTATCATATGCTTGCCCTTGTTCTATCTTTCTATGCAATGCTTTAGGCATCTGTAGGGGCAGCAAAGCTGCCCGACTTAGAGCAGGTGGTAAACAATGGTTTAGTTCGCCGTGTCAATTCATGATAACCCCATTTATTCTCAGCCAATATTGGTCATGGAATTAATACATGACATTTTTTATTGATGCTACATACCAGATCAATTTGATTAAGATGTTTCTTAAATAATCCAACACTGGAGTGACTAGTTCAACAAAGAAATAAAATAACAATATAAAATAACAATAACGTTTACCTCTGTATTTTTTAATGATGCAAGTGCTACACATGCTCTTGAAAGAAGAAAATCCCCTGCTAGTACAGCTAGCTGCATCACAATATTGGAGGATACTGAAGTTAGCAGCTGAAGCTCATTGCATGAGAGCCTCGAATGCTCGATGCTAATTTGCTTTCAGGTTTGCAAAAATGACTCAAGGAAGCTTTTCCCATATAGGCAGCAAAAGACAAGCATTAATAATCAGATAAGAATGCAAGAGTAAGCACAAAAAGCAATACTTAAGCAGTAAACTAAACTGATACCTAAGAGTAGATGGTAGTGATACCTACACAGCAAAACTACAGTGTCCTAGAAAATTCAGAAATGAAAGATCTTGCAAACAACAGAATGCATCATGAAGAGCGTGTATACCATGGTTTATTACAGCATGCATTTTAATGCATCATGAAGAGCGTGTATACCATGGCCTATTACAGCATGCATTTTACATGCTGAAGCACAAAATGGTGTATGCCCTCTCTAGGGGGGGGGAGGGAGGGGGAGGGGGAGGGGTAAGGGGAAGGGGGGACGAGATGGGTGTTTGGTCTCAAGACAAACCTACTTAAATACATTCAAGGAGTTACCCTCGATACTCACTGGGCTGAATATCCAAAAAAGGCAGTATTCTAATGCCTGTAAGGCTCAGGCCTCGACTCATGGGAAGCACATACTCGTAAAGGATAAGAGAATAGTATAATTAAGAAAAACGAATATACCATAAATGAAGAATATCATGAGATGTGAAGGACTGTCATATGTAACTTCTTCAAAGTAAAAATATCTTCATGATTCATAGAATCCCATACTCCATAAAGTGACTGTTTATGAAAGTTTACTTATAGATGATATGTCAGTACCTTATTTCCCATAACAAAATTCAAGGAACCAATACCACGCCTTGTGTCTGCATCATCTAGAACATCATCGTGAAGAAGGCTTGCCACCTACCACATATTAAAAGAAAATTGTAAAGTACTTGTTCAATCAATGCATCAACAAGCATTGTCTAAAACATGCAACTGAACATGGCTCCAAGTTACCAACATGGATCATCTCAGTGATCTCGGCAATGCACTGTTGCCGTGCCCGTAGTTCCTTTGATAAACTATTGAGTGCAGTATCTGTTGCTGATTCAGGTATTGACATCTTCAAAGCTGATGCCATTAGCAACAATACCTGCATGCACATGACAAGCTTGTTATCTCTTCAAAAGAGAGAGACAGGGAAGGAGACACCCAATCTACATATAAAGAAGACAGTGAATAATACATGTGATTACAAGCTTGAAAGAAGTGAAGCTTATGATTTATGTAGTGATGACCTAAGATAATACTTCAAAGTTAAACTAGGCAAAAGACAGTCTGTAAAGCATGTTGAATAATTTTTTCATGAACTAAGCCAGACCATACTTAGTGTTATATTAAATATATGGAACAAAGCAAGATCCACATTTTTTCTTTTTTTTGAGGCTCTTTTGCTTTGCTCCATATATATAAAATAACACTAAGTATGGCCTGGCTTAGTTCATGAAAAAATTATTCAACATGCTAAGATCCACATTTCACTACACATATGTATGCAAATAGGACACTATGTGTGTAAACTGTAGCTCTCTGCAGGAATGAGGTGATGGGCCAGGTACTACAGGAACTTTGAGGAAACTAGATAATACATATAAAATCCTAATTTTCCTGTTATTAAGATAAAATAAAGGAGAAGTTCCTTACGGACATCATGAGCAGAAGCATTGTGAAACTCACATCAAGTACAGAAGGCGGCAAACTAGAATTATGTCATCAAAAAGTGTAAACTAATGTTTCAGCAGAACTTGGAATGTAATTATATAAGTAAAAGTATTCTCCTTCCATCAAGAGCCAATGGCTTTTAAAGCCCCTAGTCCATAGGATACCCAATTAATACGAATGCCTCGGAGTTCCAATGACAGTGTGAGGGCTATTGAATTAATGAAGGGTAGAATAATTTAGAGAAGCAGTCTTCTAGTAAGCACCATTCAAATAAACTCTCATTCAAAGACCTCTAAACTAAATAAAATTTTCAGGTGGATACTAGATATCCTGAATAATTTTACAGTTTACCAATGAGGACAAATTTTGTTATCAGCCTTAGAATGTTTACAACACCATAGAAACATAAGGCAAACATGGAACTCCAAAATACTCAGACAAGAAAAAAGTTTAGCAGTACAATGAAAAAAAAATTAATCTCCTGACTAGCTCTTACCGTAGGACGGAAACGCTTTCCCTCAACGCCCATCTTGAAGAAGTATTCTGCAGCCGAGGCAAGCTTCGGAACCTACTCAACAAGTATAGAAATAGACAGTTGACTTCAAAATGTGGGGTGTCAAAGGATATGATTCTTTTTTGAAGATATGATTAAGCATGCAATGAATGCAAGTTATAGAATATCATGTTTAACACTATTTATTCAATATAACTGTCACATATGGCAATAATTTCAGAAGAAATTAATACATGACATTTTTGGCTACAACTTCATGCAGAAGAATATCTTTGAAAATTTTACTTCTAAAAGTCCAGAAAACAAACAAAGAATCAAGATTCAAGAACAGTAGCACTTTGGATTAGCGCGAATGCTGTAAGGTTTTACCATTTCATTCAACAAACGAGACATTCCTTAGATAACATTTTTTTTATTTATAGAAGGACCTTATAAGCCATTGGGAAATTCTATAGAACTCTATTGGATCATAAAATTGTAATATTGAGGGTACTCTTCTCATTGCATATGTCTCTTCAGGTTATTTATTGAATTCTAACTAGGAAGAGGAAGAAGAAGATGCAGAAGAATGAAATCTAATTTGGTAACAAAGAGATAATCAAGAATATATATACCTCAGCAACAACCATCGCACGTAATCTATTCGCAAGGATTGATAATTCATCGGCAACAAGTGAAAATGGATCAACTGGTTCCTGAAACAGATCACCGAACAAGTTACCTTGCAGCACTAATTGCACAGTAACTTCCTCACAATTATCATTATCTACAGAGTTCAGAATTACATTAGCATGGCAAAATCTCGGAAGTTTAAAAAGCCACAATATCATTATGTACAGCGTAAGAATTACATTTAAATGAGCAAAATCTCCAAATTTTCAAAAGCCAATTCAGCAAGAAAATTGACAAACCTCAATAATGGAGCTTCTCTCCTGATGAATTTGATACCTGGCATCATGGTAAGCATGTGAACTCCAGATATGATAAATTTCTTTGCAACCCAAAACCTACTGATGCACATGAACAAATAAACACATTACTAATTCTCATCCGTTGAAGATGATGTGGAAAACAGTATATCCAATTGAGAGAAATAGTTAATGACTGAACCCATGACTGCAAATTTGACATGGAATAGAAAAGAGTATGAGAAAGCTACAATAAAGAATCAAAAGTACAGAAAAATCTCATCTTGGACAAATAAATTAGTACAGCGACTGAACCAACTCCCCCAAATCTGAACACGTAGCAAAGTTATCAAACTTCCGGAAGATGACATAATTTACTAATTCGATTCATAAACTTAACAACAAAAATAAGTCAAAGAGTACGATCCAAAGGTACAATAAATCTCCCAACAAAATAGATTGGATGCTAAAGCTAAGCCATAATTCTCCCCCCAGATCATTAGATTCCAAAATGAAGAGGAAAACAGTATACTGAATAAAATCATCATATATTATAAACCAAGACATTGACACTGTGAGAAGACACTGCGAGATAATTACAAGTCATGCTCGTGACAAAAAAAAAATACATACCATAGTCAATGAAAATTCCAAAAACAAAAGACATGAACTTATGTGATTTTTCAGTAAAATTGCAAGAAATCTCTAAACCTTATAGATTTTCCAACGAAAAAATTCAACAGTAGATGAACAAGTATGATTGAAATCCAAATGCTCTAAATAACAAAAAATTAACAGAAGTACCTCTGGATTGAAAGGAAGCAAAGTACTAACACTATAAAACCTCCCACTCATGGTTCCATGGCTACAAGCTGCCACAGTTAAAAACCTTCGATCACCCTCTGCAACTCGCCATGGAAACCTAGACCTAGAGCTTAACTTGCAGAGAGCACGCATCACAAACATTCTTCTTCGACTCTAATGCAAACCTAGACTTTTAGGACGAGAAACTAATAGAAATAATGGATTTGCAGAGAATTAAGTCGAAAAAATTGAAACCCTATTAAAAAATTTGACAGAGACTGAGATACAGAGAAAGTAGCGTTAGGGAGAGAAAATGAATAGTAAAGAAACAAAACCATTTGCATTTAGAAAAATCAGAGCTCTGGGCGCTAAGTAAAAAAAAAACCCTTAAAGTGAGTCACCGGGAATTTTGAAAAATAATTCAAAATGCATTTTTGCCTACCCTATTCTTCATTAAAAAAATCTTCTAAGTCCTCTCCCTTCATAATAACTAAGTGATCCATTCCTTTTTAAGCTCTTCCCCTTATATAAAAGCATTAGCTGTCATATAAAAATAACATCAGTTATCATATAAAAAATAATAATAATAATCAATGATAAATTACACAACACAATCATAATAAAAAATTTCATACAACATAATGTGATCCCTCCCTTTTTAAGCTCGTGCCTTCATCTCAAGGCATGAGTGTCATTTAAAAATAAAAATAATAAAAATAAAAATCAGTAATCAATGATAAATGACACAACACAATCATAATAAAAAATTTTACATAACATAATCATCGTAAGAGATTACTAAAATCTCAATTGAAATAGCATATCTTTTTAGTTTCCTCCAATACCTCAAAATTTTATACTGCAATTACCAGACCTTCTAGTTTACTAATAAAACTTCTTCCCATTTTTTAACTCGTACTCTACAAATTTTAAATTTAGTATCATAAATTTATTGTTTATTTGAAATTAAAAAAAGAGACATTTGAAATACTTCTATAAAAAATAAATAAAAATAAGGCTTATTATAATAAAATCTTGTTATTCCAATCATATTGTTTCAATGACTTATCATGTTGAAACCAATGTCATATTAGAAAACATGTGATTGCATATAAGTGCCAAAGGCACTATAAATAAGTAAGAAATAGTGTCATGACTGTAAAATGGTACAAGTTATTATTAGAAAATGTTATTGGAATGGTGATGATGTTATTATTATAAATCTTTTTGGAATGGTGTGATGATGATTTTAATTCAGTATTTTAGTGGAATTTTGTGACAAAAAAGAAATAAATGATAGTTTATAGGTACGTGCTGGTAAAATGTTGGTAATGCATTTCTTATATTTCTTCCAGACATAGCCAAACAATAACAATGTATTTCTTAGGTTGCATCTAAATACTACCCCAACAATAATAATCTATTTACGGGTAATGTATTACACAGTAATGTAATATATCAGTAATATATTTCACAGATAATATATTTCCAGGTATCCAAACGGCCCCTTAGGAAAATGGTTTGATAGGGCTGCAGCCAAACTAAAGCCTCACTAAATCATCCAAAATTACAATTCAATCATTGGATAATCTTCGCATCGATCATCTCAATTTGAACATTATAGTTGTGAACAAAAATTAGGATTTCAAGTTTTAAAAATAATGTGTATTGTATCAGATTATCTAAACAATACATTTTACCCTAGAAACAAGATTTATATCATTTTTTATGTTTCAAATTTATTGTTGATATTAAAAATTGATTTTAAAGCCATCATGAATATTTCTTTTATCGATAGTACTTTTGGAGGATTTGAAGTGAGGTTTTATTTTGTTTTCATTAATCCTAGGCCCTGAAACCTAATCCTAATTAAAAAGGCTGAAAATGACCTACCGTTTATTAGTTCAAGTGACTGAAAGGAAAGCATATAAATAAAACCACGTATATTATGCTCCCACGGGGCTACTGTATATTTACTCCCTCGGATAGATGACCTATTTGGGACCATTTTTTTTGTAAAATTTTTTAAATCACTCAATATTTACTAAATTATTATTTTAAAAAACAAAAAAAAGGGATTTTGAGTTGTCTAATACTGTGATTTCACCCTCCAAAAATTTGATCATCTCTATTCAATCTCGAGACATTATTTTTTAAGCCCTAAAGAGTTAAATTTGGATTTTTTTTGTTTTGGGTGAGCTTTCGATGCACCTCCTACAACATAAAACCTATATAGTTCCCCTTATCCAACGAATGGACGGCTGAGATGGTACCAATCACAATATCACGTCTCTACACTATTTTATTTGTTATTTTTCTACAAAAATATTTTGACATCAAATTTTGGACGTCCACTCATCTCTTAAACTCGCATGTGTAAAAAATATATAAAAAAAATCTCAACAAAATAAAATAACCAAAATATCCCTTTAAACTTTCAAGGAGTATTTTGGTCATTATTTATAAAAAAATTATTTTAATATTAATTTTAAGCGCGCCATATTGAGAAGACGACACGTACCAAATTTCAATTTTATACAATTTGTAGAAAAAAAACTAAAAATAAAATACTTTTGGCCGTTAGATCTAGATCAAATGGTTAGCAACTCATTTGATCCAAATTGGACAACTAGATGGGGGGGAGGGGCAAATATATATCTTCTATGTTGTAGGGGAAGTATATAAACCTTACCATTTTTTGGGGGATTCTTTAGAAAGAGACAATTTATCTTTTATACATAGAAGTTACAATCATTTTTGTCCTTTAAATTTGAAAATGGATGGTTGTAACAGAGCCATTGAATAGACACAAAATTCAAAAAAAATAATCTAGGACTTCGTGACTCATAACTGTCACGATCCTGCTCCCTGACCCCCACCCCCACCGTCCCATACCGGAGGGCGACAGAGCGTGGGATCACGAACACAGAGGTCGCAGATGTCACTCAGGTGAGAGTGTCTCAACGCATAATTAACCTTGGAATCAAAGCAAACCACGAAATAAAGCAAAAACTCATACAATCAATATCCAAAACTGAGTAAAATAATATATAAAGCAAAAACTCATACAATCAATATCCAAAACAAAGTAAAATAAAACCATTTATATACATATTCAGACTCCAAAAATTTATGTTACAACGAGTTCAAGGCACAACAGGCCTGATCACAAAAATTCCAGAATTCTTCAAAATACATTTTCACATATCCGCCAGGCACCTACCGTCAAAAGAGTCACCAACTGGAACTTTAAGCTTCAAAACGCCTGCCACCACCATCCAACACTCTACACATAGGGGAAAACGATGAGTATGAGCTAAAGGCTCAGTAAGTGAATCAGTACCCTTGCATTCCAACCTGGATGCACTTATAAAGGATAACAGACCCACAACTATCACAATTTATGCAAGATCACATAGTACAATCATACATCAGTATATACAAATAGAGTGAACATAAAGAGTTCAGATCTCAGAGCTTTCCATGTTTCATAAATTAAACAGTTATACAGACATATATCACTATCACACAATTAGAAGCTTGGCTAGAGCATACAGTTCAGACATACAAAAATTAATAGGGTCTATTCCTGAAGTAGAAATCACATCGATCAGGCTAAGTCAATCTTGTAACTTGGGACTTCTACTCTCATTTAAGAGGGAGGACAATGACAAGTGGGGGCCTCACTTCGTAATGATCTCACTCACACACACAGTCCCCAACGCGTTTTGGAGTTTACGATAGGCTGAGGCCTTGCAAGACACGACCCTCTCCTTGTGTAACTTGTGCCCTCCTTGTGCCACTTGCTGCCCTCTCTATGACATTTGGAGGTGGCTTGCTGCCACCTCACCTCCCCCTTCTCCTTATTTCTTTTAAACCCACCCAGCTGTCTCTCCCTCTTTCCCTGTCACCTTCACGCCCTCCACTTCTTATCTCTCTCTCTCTCTCTCTCTCTCTCTCTAAGAGAAATTTGGGGAAGCTTGGAAGAAGCTCCTTCCACCTCATTGTTAGAGCCCTTGTCGAGGAGCTTGAAGTGACTGTGGAAGGAAGGATTGGAGGGTACTTTTGTTGTTAAAATAAGTGGATCATTACCTTACCATTTCGTAGTATGAATTGAACATGAATCAAGATTGATTTTGATCCTAGAATAAGCATGAATAATGCATGTGGTGAGCATGAATAGGGTGTGAACAATGACACTATATGCACACTGTTTTGTTATGATTTTTCAGCAATAATGGCTTGCCTTGCCTTTGGATGATGAATGACCCTTCAAATTATTGAAGGAAGCTTGTGAATTAAGTTAAAAAATATTGCATGCTGATTTCTAATGAAAGTTGGAAGCTATGAACAAATCTTTAGGACATGCTATGACTGTGACATGAAAATCTACGGAATGTACATGATTTTGTAACATGTGAATGACCTATCAAATGGTATCAGAATTTCTACAAATTACAACCATTAGAAAGGCCTCTGAGTCTATTTTGATCTTCATGTTTGGGTCCAATTGAAGTTCTGAATAATTTGAAAGTTATACTTCATTTTATGCACCTATGTCACCATTGACAGACTGTGTAAATTTTCGGAAATATCACTCTAGTTGCACTGAGGTTTTGTTTGACCAAATGAAGTCCAAATGACTCACAACCACAGTCATTTGAAAGATACATGAGTTTACCATAAGTTTCATGCTTTAACCTTATCCAAATTCTGTACAAGTCTGTATCAAAGCAGTCAGGTTAGGATTCTTGACTTAAAGAGTTGTAAAAGTATCTCTAGAGTAGTTTCTGTATAGGGAAATTTACTTCATTTCAAATGCTCTTTCAGAGTGGGTATGGGCCTCCCTCAATCGCAAAAACGTATGAAGCTTAATTGAGCATGACCACTTTAGGGTTAATATAGAATCTTGAGATTCTGAAATGTCATATTGGGGTATGTTTTATAAAAAGGGATATAAACATCAATTTTATACGGAATTTCAATATAATTCAAAAACAAACTTTCAAGTTAACATTCTTGGCTTTCATGTGATAGTAATTTGAGAGCATTTGGACTCCATTTGGTCCATCAACAGCTTAAGGAAACAGAAGCAATATTTCTAGAAATTGCCGAGTTTGGTCATCAGTGACGTATTCTCATAATTTGATGTATAAATCTTGATTTTCAAATAATTTCAAAATACTTTCAACGTGTGAATTCAAAAGAACACATAAACCTTTCAAATGACAGTGGTTTGAAGGAAATTTAACTTCATTCAATCATTTTAAACTTATGAAAACAGGAATAAAAATTGTAAGTTTTCTGCAATCTGTCAACAATGACATATCCCCATACTTTCAAACACAACTCTTAAATTATACAGAATTTGGATAAGGTTAAAACATGAAACTCATGTTAAAGTCATGTATCTTTCAAATGGTTGTAGTTA